AAGCGCAGCGGGCCCGAGCAGGCGACGGTTGTGATGGGGAGAGGTGAGATGGTAGGAGAAGAGTGGGGAGAGAGTTAGGGTTTGGTTTTCCGGGTTGTGTTTGAGAGATTTGAGCTTGAAACCCCCAGAATGATCTCTCGTAGCTGCCTGCAATTAGACTCATGAAGAAGAAGATGATGATGATGATGATTCTTTGGCTTCCTGATTGATTGGTTAAATGTTAAAAAACTGAAACTTTATTTTTCTTTTGAATTCTCAGACGGCGGAAACCTAATTGTTAAAAACTCAGACTTTGTGCGTTTGAGCTTCCAAAATATTATTAAAATATATATTAATTAAAAATAATTTAATAAAAAAACTATTTAATATTTAATAAAATAATTATAAAAAACATTATGCCTTATATTTCATAAAATAATTTTGGATGCTGAAATTATTTAAAATTATATTAATAAAAATAAGATAAAAAAAGAAAAATTAATTAAAATAAATTTAAAAAGTAAATTACTTTAAAATTAATAAAAAATAATTAAAATTTATTTAATATTTTAAAAAATAATTATAAAAAATATTATTATTTTAAAAAAAAATTGAAGTCGTATATTTGTTGAAATTATTAAAAATTTTATAAAAGAGAATAAGATAAAAATAAAAAATTGTAATATTTGGTTAAAATAATTTTAAAAATAATATAAATATTGAATTTAAATTATTAAGTGTACATTATTATTATTATTATTATTATTGTATTTTATATTATATATAATATATAATTATATACAAATTTCTAAAATATAAGAAAATATAAAAATTATTTTAATAATTATAATCATTTTTAAAATATATATATATATATATATATATATAAAAAAGTGGTTTGTCACAGCTTCTATATTTCCACCATTGCTATGCAGAAGTTCGCCGTGTATAGGATCTTCGGGGAGGAGGAAAACCTTTTGCCAACTTCCAGAGAAGACAGAAGCACTGTAATGGGCGAAGATCAAGGGCGGCTTCCTTTCACTTCTTCTGTTCCTCCTCCTCAGCAATCCTCCGAGCAAGTCGATCCTCCTCCTCATCCTCCCGCTTTTGATCCAAGTCGAAGTAACTTTCTCTTTCTCTTTCTCTTTCTCTTTCTCTTTCTCTTTCTCTTTCTCTTTCTCTTTCTCTTTCTCTTTCTCTTTGTACGCTCACCGTTTTCCTTTAGTTGCTGCTTAGGGTTTCGGTTCTTCTGGTTTTGATTTCGTCCTCTTCTTGCTTTCAAATTTTCAGACGTTAAATTACCAAAGAATGGATTTGATTCTCAAAATATGAGCCTAATCTTTTATTTGCAAACAGAGGAATGCTGCAATGTGATTTCTAATGAGAAACCAACGCTGTAAAACTGCTGATTATCGTCTGACGGAATGGCATGGTGATTCAACTTTTTAGTGCAGTTGGTTTCTTTCCATATGACCCAAAAATTAGAAATAGGGATAAGATTTTAGAGTTTTTTGTTCCTCAATTTACAAACCTTTTAGCCCTTGTGCTCCCAAAGATCTTCTGCAATTGAACTGGAACTGCTAAAGACTAGTTGCAGGTTGAGAACAATAATCCCACGGCCTTCTACAGTTATTTACCCAGATAATCACCCAGCTCACCTCAGGCACGATGCTTAAGAATCCTAGGTTTGACTCCTGGTTATTTTTCTGTTCTCCGTCTTAGCTTTTAAGTGGCGTAGCTAAGTATCCGTAACTTTTTTCGAAATTTTTAAGTAGCGAGATAATTCTAATTTGTAGACCATATAACTTTATTGTGTCATGGGAGGATTTTGAATGTTCTCTTGACAATGTAAGTAAGCTTGCAGTGATTGTCTTCAATGTTTCTTAACGTTTGTATGTTGGTCTTGAAGTGATTGGCATTATCAAAAGGAAGGCGTTGATAAAAGAGTTAGCCGCTGCGTACCACACAGAATGCCTCGCGTACTGTCAAGAACTTTTGGAACTCCAAAAGAAAAGAGAAGAGGTTAGGATGATGCTCTTTATCTATGTATTCTATTTGTCTTAAAAAAGAATTTTGAACGATAATCTGTGACTTGATATGCATCAGTTAAAAAATTGTCTTCCAAATTTCTATTTGTCATGGGAAAACTATGTTTATCGATCTTTGGATCATTCATCAAGGTTCCACAAGTTAGAAGTGTAACTCGCTGCTTTTCAGTTGTGGAAGATTTGGAGTGCTTTTTTCCAACGGAAAACACGGGAAAAACGTAATTTGTTTTCTAGTTTAACATGTGGTGGAAGAGTAGTTTTCTACAACCGAACTTTCTACCTTGTAATGAACCTTTATTACAATTATTTTGCTCGGAAAATCTTCTAGAACAGACACCCAACTTTCCACAATTAAGTTTAGCAAATTGCCACAACACTCATAACTTGAAGAACCTTAATGAAACAGTTCAAACTTTCGTAATTTGACTAATCACATGATATTCCATATTTATTCTTTCTTTGGAGCAGTTGGTAGCAGATCTTAGGGTAATAAGAAAGATTTTAGCTTAAATACTACTGTAGTTTCCTTCCTGTTCAGTTTATCATGATTCAAGCTCTCGTCTTCTTTATCAAAATCTCGTTGTATATTAAATTGTTTATCGAAGGATAGACATAGTTTTTGGATACAGATAGATAAGTGCGTATATTGATGTTGCAGTTATAAGAAGACATCAAATGTAATATATACATTTCTAGTAAGCCAATTACAAAACAAGAATTAATTTAGATTACTTCTCCCAAGAAACCGATACTGGTCATTTCTTTTTCTTTTCTGTTTCCTAAGAGGAGAAAAATGCAGAATGAATTAGATATAAGGGATTTGGAGACTTTAAAGCACTCCAGTGGCAGAGAACAGGATTTGCTTTCAATTAATAAGAAAACCGATTTTTCCAATGTATAAACTAAAATTTCCAAGTGCTTTTGCTACTCTAACCTTCAGAAAACAAAATCAGGAATGCCATATTTTCATCTGAGGTCATCTGAGCTATCCTATATGGTATAACTAGATTAAAAGTTGTCACTAATTGGATTTTGATGTCTGATTAAAAAGCTACACATCAATATAAGCCAATAGTGTAGCTTCTTTCAATTTTTCTTTGAGAAAATTAGCCTGTGCTGTTGTGTTTTACTGGTAAGAATTCTTAGAATCCTGTAAATATTTGGCTTTTGCATTTGCGACACAAGAAGAAGGACTTAGTTCCTCTTGCACTGAGAAACTATCAGTGGGATAATTGCACGTTCAGATTGTACATTCTTGTCGTATTTGTTACATATACACTCAGACCTGCAGAAACTCAGTCTCAATAATGGGTTTTATAAGCTTATGTACTTATTTTTTTTATTTTTGGTAAACAAAAAGGTGAATTTCCAACTTAGAAGTGTTTTCGAAACATTTGCAGCCTTTCTTGGATGCGAAGACTTCAGAAGATGTGAGGAAGGAGACAATGAAGCCTCCCAAACGCCTAAAGAAGACGCGGTGAGCATGTTATAGGAGTTCGTATGTCAAGAACGAACCATATTCACTGTGGTTTGCTGTTTTATCCCTGTGCAAAAGTTCTGACTAGGCTCTTGGAAAGATGAAAAGAAGACTGAACTGACTTGGACACACGTGCTGTTGTATCTATTACTGTGAAGCATGAAAATTGTTCAAGTGCAGTCTTGTATAATATAGTCTCTTTAACTTGTTAGATAAATTCATAGTTTCTGCTTCCAGCAAGAAAAAGGGCAGATGCAAAACATTGTTGGGATTTAGAATATTCTACAAAAATATGTAACTACAAAAATACGATTGTTGTTATATACACTTTAAATTTACCTGAGAAAGTAAATTGGTGAAATTCATTGCCGTCGTGTTCTTTGAAAAAGAACTTAAACCCGATCCTCTTCGCCTTTTCTTGGCTTGGTGCATCAGATTCATTCCTAGGCTGCTCCATCAGGTCTAGTTTCCCTTTCAAGTATTCAGTTTCCACTTCTGATTTCTGTTAAGCGTCTAGCTGCTCTTCTAACTCAACTATCTTACTGAGAGCCTCTTCTTTCTCCATCTGAGAAGAGAGAAAAATAAGGATGTATTGTGATTCTGGCAATAGCCAATACAGTAAAATATGTGTATATAAATATATATAAACTATAGGAACTAATCAAGTTCCATCAGGGGGCATTACTGTTTGTCAACTAGCAACTTCAACTCATATATATATATATATATATATCTCAGAAGATTTGAAAGACCTCTACATATCTAAACTGCATGTAGAAGATGCAGCTCATACACATGAACTTAAAAAAAAAAAAACTAACTAAAAAAAATCATGAAATAAAAAATGATATAACTGCCTCTATCATACATAACCCTAATGTTTATAATATATTGTGTGTATATATATATATATATGTATATGCAGCTGATAAATGCTTCCTCTAAGTCTACCAAATAGATGCATCATATGATGAATTTCAGCATAATTGAGAAGAAAAAGTCATCACTATGTTCTTTCTTTCTTAGGAAATTAAGAGAGCTACTATCATTATATATAAAATATGTATATTAACATATACACTAAGTTTAGAATACATGAACTTCGTTTGCTAATGGATACACTTTAACTGAGTTAAGAGATGAATCGTTACAAGATAATAACAATGAACTACACAAAGTTATATAGCATGGAAACAAAATATTTTAAATTTCATCAGATTTAATAAAATCTTAAAATATAATCTCAATTCAGTTGAAATTGTCTCAGATTTAATTTTTCAATTTTTTTCATTATTATCATTTTATATCCGTAATAGTACGAAAAACTCTAAATTGTTCAAGAATAATAACTTAGATTTTTTCGACTATTTGTTTTAAAATTAGTCAGTTCTATTTCTTGATGAGAAAATAGTTATAACTCAATAGTAAAGTGTCACCTTAATATGATAAAAATCATTAGTAAGAATTGAAATTCATTCTATATTTTATTGTTTAAACGCAATATATATTTTATTCTATTGATGAAAAATCGATATTTCTATCAAAATATAAATTTATATATTTAAATATATAATTTATTTTTATTTAATAATTTTTTTAAGTAACTAATTAAAATATGAATAAATATAACAAGAAAAAACATAAACCGAAAAAATCCATCAGACTTTTTAAAAATTATAACTTGTAATCTACGTTTCCATCTTACTTGGACTACAAGTAGATGTTATTTGAAATCGATTCAAGTGATAAAAAATAAATAATTCTTCCCTCTGAATCATTAAAAATTAGAAACAAGAATCACATTCTTCCAAATATTTGACTTTTAAACGGAACATAAACTTGTTCAAAAAGACAATATTTATTCTATAATGAAAATATTTATTTTATAATGACTAGACTCTAGAACGGAAGGATTCGAAACTCCAAATAGCGGGAATGTAAATTTCTCGAAGAATCCTAAAAATTTACATAACAAAAAAAAAATGAAAAGAGGTCGTTATGCTCCCAAGTAAATAAAATTTCCTCCTTGCATGTTTATAAGAGATAAAATAGGTGATAACATTTGGAGAACCCTTCTATTGTACATTTCAGATGACCAAAAGTTTTTTCAAAGACACATAACTGTTTCCTACTTCATGTAGAAATCTCTTCAGAGTTCTCACTAGCTATTCACCATTCCCTGTAACTACTACATGTCAGCCATATATAAAACAACTATGCTCAGATATTCATGAACGAATTGCTAAAACTATAAATACTTCATGCCAGAAGGCAAGAAGTGAGCTCCCGTTCTGCTTTACCTGATGCCAATATCCTTCGCCATAAGCTGCTCCAGCCAGTAGTATTGCCTTCCATAATTCTTTCAGTAGTGGGTCCCATTTCGTAAACAAAGCTCACAGATTCCGATAATCGATTGAGTAAATTCATCAAAGCTATCACTTCATTTCGTTGCAACTCTAGCTGTACATCAAAACAAAGCCTTCATTGTGAAAACATCATCACTGAAGTGAAAATCACAGAAAAATAAAGTTGGCTAATTCAATAACAGTGACATGCAAATAACTGATATCATGAGCTTACTCAGAATACGAACTTCCACAAATGCTTATTACATTTCCCCACATATCAAATCTTCAAGTTCAAAATATAGACTAAGAAGAGATACTTACACTGTGACCCAAATCTTCCCCACCATTTTCGGAGAAAAGGATTTTTAATGCCGTACCAAGACCAAGAACCTGAAGCTTTCCCCAAAGTCGACATTTCTCACAACCCACACAGTCCATGATTGTGCTGCAATGCATGATATTAGAGAATTTGATGTTATTTTGGGCTTACATGCCAGCATAGAATCAAAGAGAATATGTGTGTGTGTGTAAGAAAGAGAGACAGAGAGAGAGAGAGAGAGAGAGAGAGAGAGAGAGAGAGAGAGGCATAACAATTGTCAATCTCTCCTAGAAAGACCAAAATTGAATAAAATAACAACACTTAGTGATGGGCATCTTTTGGGCATAACCTAATGTTTCTGAATTGTTTTTGTATTTTCTGTTTCAATTCAGGTCCACTTTCGCCTTTCCACAACTTAGCTTCATCAAATGGTACTGGACATGCAGCTTGCAGTTCTGAGTTATGAAGAAGCTGTTTCATTAAGGATTGTGTATTGAGG